GGTTGTTGTGATTATTGGAGTTCTTTGTGGGATGATGCCCTCTCTACTCTCGAATCTAAAAATCATACCGGTCGCCGCAGACATCATAGCCGGACAAATGCAGAAGGCTGTCACTCTTGGCTCACTCAGACCCAATAATTACTTACCACGGTGTGGGGAGTAGTCGTTGGTTGACAATGCTGGCACGTCCTCCTGAATATATCGGGGCTTCAGAAGATAGGGCCTGACCAGCTAAAACTCAGGATGATAATAATAATCGGGTTTATTTTAAATGAGATAAGTATATAGGGGTGCATCATACTGACGAGCTCAAACTTAGGTCGATAATAATAATCGGGTTTATTTTAAATGAGATAAGTATAGGGATGCATTATACTGAAAATTCAAATAAATAGGTAGACGTATAGGTTAGGTTCAAAGTGAGTGGGTCTATTGGACCCTCTACCGCAACCCGCAAGGGCTTTTTGTGGCTGTAGAAGCATAGCCTAAAGTCTGTAAGGTAACATGTAACTCAGTAACATCGCAAAAGCTCAAACTGTCTGCGTTGACTTGCTGTAATTGTCTTCACCTCTGAAATTACAACAAAAATATTTGAATACCTACGTCCAGGAAGTTTTTAAATGTTGATATGAGACATTTCATGAATATAATGAAACATATTCAATGAATACAAAACAAAGTAACCTTCACAAGAAACAGAACACACTACTCCTATGCAGATAAGGACGCTTGATAAATAATCACGAATACGGACAAGAAATATAGATTTATTTCATTTATGATTCTTGGTACTTACTAAAACTTAACATTATTAACAATTAGTTGTTTGGCGAATAGTACCTTTTTTAAAACTTTCAATTTTCTACAAAAAACGACTTGACCTGTTGTATTCAATTCGTACATTATATAGGATAGATTTAGAAAAAGTTGTGTTACCCATATGCTTTTTAAATTAGTGGAATACACTCATTTATGAGTTGATTTTTTTATGAAATTACACAGAAATTTAGTTATGATAATTGTACGCTGAAACATTTTGCTTCCTCTCTTGTACTCAAACTACTTGAGGGGTCAACTCCGCCATAATTAATATAGAGATGAAGGCATCTCAAAATGTGATTGAGCATTCATCAACTCTTTCAGTTTGTCATAATTTCTTCCAGAGCCAAAAAGAATAACTACATCTGACTGAATATGATATCCTTACCTAGATAAACAGAGCCACACTCGCCCACTTGAGTCATTCACAATATTGCACTCCATTTGTGAAATTTCATTTTATCAGAGAATGGAGTCATTTCTCTTCTTGATGACTAAGTCACCAAATTGGAGCATGTTGGAGAATGTTTTCTTTTTCCACTGAAATTCGTAGAAACTGTTCCTGACACTTCTGTCGTTGTATCCTGAATTAGAACACTTTTTCTAATAGTTTTTTATTAAAACTAATGACAACTCTTTGGTTACCTATTAATTTAACATTTTTCACAGAATTTGGTGAAGTAAGAAATCATATAACATTTTAAATTTTAATTTCACAAAATATTCATGAAAACTCCATCATGCCCCGGGGTAGGGGTAGTATGGGGTATCCAGTAAGGAGCAGTCCGGGGTACACTATTTCATTTGTCACAGAATAAGCAGATGTGGGTTTCTTCTGAATCTGCGTCATCAACCCCTGCACAGGACTAACAACGCATTTAGTCAAGCTAGCATAGAGATACGTAACATATGGAAACCTCTAATCAAGCGAAAAAACGACCAATTATTGCCAAACGCTCATTTCCCGCTAAAACCAAAGAAGCGGAAAGAGGGAAGAGGGGATAGGTGAAAGCACTCGAATGACCTATAAATAGTCAGATCTCGGAGGAAGAAGTCCAGTTATCACCCGAAGACGATTGTGGATACTAACAATCGAAACGTTGTGACATAACTTGGTTTGAAATCTTTCAATTTTTTATTTTTAATTTTTTGTTGATAATATTTTTTAATTTTCAGCTTTTATTAATATTTCAATTTTTTCATTTGTTTTGTTGTCGCTTGTATGTTATTTCTTTGTAATTTCAGTTTTTTGTTTAATAAAATTGTTATTTTTCGGTTAATCTTTTTAATTTTTTACAGATTCTTTCAGGGATTTCAAATCCATTTATATTATATTAGACAATGGAAGTCCGAACTGATGAAATACGTTTTTCCTCTATGATAATTTTTTCTCGTTTGGTTTCTTTGTTCGACTGTGATGAGAATGTTTTATTTGAGAGTAGCGTTTTCAGGAGATGTTGTTAAAATACGACATTCTCTTCGAAAACGCTATTTTCGTCTTGTATAGATGGTCCAGGAGTTTTCTGAAGTAAATGTGTCGATATTGCAGGTAAAATAGGTTCAAGAGGTTCCTCTTGAAGGGGAGGCGACAGTGGTTGCTGAATTTCAGCAAATGAAGAAGGCTTATCATTTGTAAACGGTGTGTCTGTTGTTGATGCAGCTAAATAATCTGAATCTGCGAAATTATGTTGGTTAAATGGTCATATCCCACACTATTCGAATGCATTAATTGTCGTGAACATCATTGCAACTTGAATATAAGCATTTGCAAAAATTTCGCTCATTTGAAAAGTTATTATTATCCTCCCTGGGTGTGACCATAACCAGTTAGAACAAGCATGATCATAATTGTTTCATGAAACCAACATCCAAGGTTGAGCCTGTGGGTGCAATGGGGGGAAAAGTAAAGCATAACAACACCATTCTTAAGTGCATTTTCAACCACTATATTTTGCGTATGCGTTACGTACCCATCTAGAAGTAACAAGACCGGGTTAGTTATTGGGGCCCCATACAATTTGACGAACCGTTGGAACCAGCTCATTAAGGTTTCAGTTGTCATTCAGCCTCGAGCGTTGCATTCTTCCGTCGTCCCTCCTGCTCCATTCTCTGTCGAGGAAACGTTAGCATTGGAGGCATATAAGTTCCAGCTGCATTGAAACATATCCCAAAGGTAATCGTCTGCCCTCGTTCTGCAGAAGAAAGGGAGCCTACTTGTTTTCTTTTTTTTTAACATGGATGAAATTGTGAAGTCTTAGCATTTTTTTTGCCAGCTGATAGGTTGTTAATCTAAATAATCGTTTCTTTATATCTTTTACATACCTAACAAGCTCATCTTTTTCTTGTTTGGAAAATAAGGGTTTAAAGTTACCTCTGGAACTGAATTAAGAGATATCTCGCCCTTCTTTATTTTTGCGACGTGACGCTCCAATGTAGTCCGTGGAACACCGTGCAATTGAGCTGCTTTTTTGTAACCCGCTGATTTGCTTAAAACTGCACCAATTGCGTGTTTCATGCTTTATATAGACCAACTGCCTCTGAAACTTTTCTTTTTGTGAGTTCGTAACATTTTTTTAATAACCTGAAACAAAATAAATAATATTGTACGGGGGGCGGAGCACAACATGGTATCCCGTTATGCCCCCGTGTCTAACACAATTTTAAATAACAAACAAAAAAATGAATGCAAGATCAGAGTAATTTCGCGCAAAACTGATCAATAGTTGATGTTAGTAGTAATAAGTAGTATAGGTAAATACAATGAGTATATAAAATTGAGAGGGAAAAATAAATATACATCACAGATATACATTCTGTCTGTTCAAAATCTGTTTTTCCGCTGTCGCCCCCCATACGAACGACAACTCCCAGAAGTTGAGAAACTTGTGCTAGCTAAGGACTAACGAGGTCTTACCTTTTAACGTGTGATTCCTAACACGATTAATGAGTATAATGTGATATTGAAGTTACTAGGAAGCATTCATATAATACAAACTGAAAAAGGCTATTTGTTCATGAATTCCTGTTATGAATATGGCTCAATGTCGCACATAAGAGTTTTTCTTGTTGGATCTTCTTCGATAATCAAGGGTGAATGATTGTAAAATTCAATTGATGCGTAATGCAGATTGAGGTTCCTGTTGACTGTTTGTGAATTTAGGAGAGGGGCACAAAATAACAATGGAACAACAAACATTGTTAGTCTTGGATACACCTATATTTCTAGAGATGAATATTAGGAATGATTGGGAAACCAAGACAGACTTAATAATTTCTAACCAATGATAAAATTAGTAGGACACTAAAATTGATCAAATTATAGATCAGATGCAAACATTTTTTCATTCAGGGTTTTTATTGCGCGATATTGAAAAATTCTCAGATATTTATTTTTTTCCTTTTAGACATCCATAGTTGATTCAGTTTCGATAACGAAAAATATTTGAAAAGATGGAAGTACCCACTGACTGGGTGAAACGTACCTGAGTAGCATTGAAAAACCATGCAAGTTATGTTTTCCATGAAAAATATTCATTATGTAATAAATACTATTGAAGACGATGAATATTATAATGGTTTTCAACTATATGAATGCGTTTTAGAACTGTCATCGTGACAAAAGCAGAAGTCTCCGAGATGAGTACTTCCTATTTGAATTTGAATGTTATTCCAAAAGTTGCAAATGAGGAGTTGAAAGCAAGTGTTTCTCCAAAAATTCGAATTGTACCGTAATTTCAATAATTTTCCATCTAACTGAAAATTAATATCAATAACTTTAAAAATCACATGTCGTCTAGTACTTCTCTCAATATCTCCTTCTATTACGAATAGTCTTTCCGTAAAGTAAATTAGAAAAAGTGATTTCCTTGTGACCTAATGTTCATTTATATGAAAGTAATTGTTTCGAATGGACTTTTTTCTCCAGCATGTGTGATTTATACACTTCTTTGCGAAGATTATTGAAATTAATTACTTTCTTTCTTCCTTCGGAAATTTCAAACATTTTGATGATGGAGGAGTAGAAGGCTGAAAAACATTGCCCCAAAAATATAATTGTATTTGCTGTTCAAATATCCGGGTTCCTACTCTGCTATTTAGTCTTTCATGCAGGAGGCATATGCAACCAAACACGCAGATTAAGACACCTGTTGACTCTGTCTCCTACCTGCATTTCTTAACTTGAGTAACTTGTGTTCGGTTTTCTAGCGCATTGTGTATCGGGCATTAGATCAGCTTGCACAGCAATTATCAATTCACTGTGCTTCTTATTATTTGTGGCGACAGAAGTTAATTTTCTTAATTATCTTCGGAAATTCAGGTGAATTAGTTAATTCAAGTAATGGGGTCATCAAAACTACATTGAGAACACCTTATTCATTATAATTCGTTGCAATTCCTTATTTGGAAAGTCCCAAGTAGTGATCGGATTTTCCCGTGTGCTGTAATTTTTGTTATATTTCATTAGGCTGCTTCATTTCGGCCGTAGCAGGTAAGAAATTAGCAATTTTTTTAGAATTTTTCATTTCCATCAGATTAACAATGATTATCGATAGTTAGAATTAAATACCACCTACATATTTTGAAAGCCTCTAACTATCATAATAAATTAACATCCTTGGTCGTACTTCACTACATAATCTTGAAAACCTACTTTTTGAAATTGTTGTTCATTGGGTCCTTCTTTAATATAATAATATCACATATATTATATTAACCATTTTTTTCCGAAATACATTCGTCAACGTTTATTTTTATTTTTCACATATGATGCGATGCAGTCATCTCTAGTTACAATAAACCTGTGTCAGGTTCATGAGATTTCAAGAAATAATTTGATAAAATTCATGTACCTATAAATACATTTCGGTATTTAGCCAATTAGAGTATGGTTAACGAAGTAGATGTCACTGTGACTAAGTACTTACATTTTTTACTTGTGTAATGAGGTTTAGGAATTAGCTCAGCATTCAACTAATTCAAACAACAAAAAAATCTTATTCAACGTATTCAAGGAACAAATCTGTAGATAATTTAATTTAGTCATTACCCCCAAAAATAATGATTTGATATATTTTCCCTAAAAGTGAAGAACGTGTACAATATAATTTTTCTTGGTTAGGGTTATGATAAATCAAGTATGATATTTACTATGTCAAAATTATTAGCAATTTTTGTCATTATCAAATTGAATTTTAATGGCGCTATGGGGTCAAGAGATAGAGGACAAGTTGCTGATTACTTGGTGAAGTTTCTGAGAATCATTTGTGGTACATAGAGCGAGAAAGAATTGCTTTAATTCGAAAGATTATCAGGGCCGTAATAAAAAATATTTATTTGATAATCATAATTTATTAGAGTTGAATCAAGTCGGCAAACCCTGTTTAAAAATTCTATGGTCATATTTCGATACTACAATGGAAGTTGATATGAGTATGTGAACATATTTTCAATATTTGTGAAGAGAAGATACATGTATCTTCTGAATTAAAACAGCTGAAGTCGATTCATTGGTACTTTTTGGCGTAGTCCTAGTCTATAATATGGATAATTTCTCACGTTACTTGACATTTCTGTAATGTGGTGTAATCCAGTAGTGTAAAACGAGGTAATTTTGCTGGCCATTCCACCGCTCCGCGCCTGCCAATTCATCCATCTATTCAAATATTATCGAAAGTTCATTTCAGAATAGTTTGGTGCACCATCTTGCTGAAACTATATCAATGCGTCTGTTAATCAAGGATTTATTCGGTGAATAAGTTTACGAAAGTTGAGTCCACCAATTTTGTAACATGTCAAAATAATTTATCCCATTTATATCTTCCTCAGAAAATGATGGAATCAAAATAATATCTCTCATTATACCAGCCCAAACAGTAACTTCTTGTTGTTTCTTGGTGTGAAGTTTTTTCTTCCAATGTGATCTAGTGAGGCAATGTCAGTCACTATGATCCAATGTGGAACACTGGATAGCAGGAGGCAGATACTTTATGGACAAATCAATTTATATATCCAAATATGACATATATCCAGCAAGGGACCTGTACAAACTAGTACAGGGAACAAGATTGTTGGAATGGGTGTCACGAAAAAGTGGGTGTCACGAAAAGTGGGTGTCAAGAAAAACTCAATGAGCCCATGAGGCTGTATGTATTTATTCTGGAGACTAGGGTGGAATGAAAAAGTCAGGCGGCTCCCAAGTAGCAGAAAAAAACTGGAATATTTTCTATTTGGATTGAATTATGCGCAACTCTTCGCAACATATCTTTACAGACATGCAGACCTCAACCCGTCGATCCACGTCTTCCTCAATCTTCTTCCTTCTGTTGGGTTCAACTCGAAGAGACACATTCTCTCTGATTTCAATATTCCCATAACGATTGACTGACTCATTTCAAGTTCTCTAGAATTTTGTCGGATGATATATACATGGATTTTCTTCGACTACAAGCAAAACGTTTAATCGTTTGTTCACGTCAATTATGAGTTTTTCTATGCCTCATATCCCTAAATTGTTTTTTGATTTTACCGAAGGTTCTTCCAGAGATTAACGGTAATAAATCAGGAAATTTTGCGCTAAACATGCGTGTTATTTCTGTTTGAGCTATGCAATCATTTGAATATTGTGATTTCATTGGTTTCTGCTAAATACGACATTTTCATTTTTCTGTAGCTTGAACAGTAAATATGAAACTGAAATAGTTGTGAATAACTTGTATCACAATAACTTTTTTGGTGTTCAAAAATAACTGTAGAAACAGGCCTGCCTATCTTTAGAAGTTCAATAACATAAACGATTCTTCCGAAGAGGTCATGAGTTCGATTCTTACTTTAAACAGATATTTTTCTCGATATAATTTATCTAATTGATGAAGTTGAGATGATTCTGTGAATAGTCATGATGCTCTCTAGGGCGAGTTAGGAAGTTATTAATATTGCCTACCCAGAACACGAGGCTAGCAAAGTAGTCGATGCCGTTGATACCCAAAGAAAATGATGATGATAATCATAATAATAACATTAGTAATATTGAGAAGGCATGGCCAGTATCAACTAAAGCCTTTTGAAAGTTGTGCCACAACTAGAAATCGAGGATGGGCTCCCACAACTGACCCGCTCGGTGGGGTCAGGAGCTTGGTGGTGGGGCTCATAACGATAACTTACTTGTCTAAAGATGACAACCCTGGCAATGACAACGGACGTCGCGTAATTGGTATTAGAGGTTATTGAATACGTTGTGGGAGAAGTGCCGAATTTATTGAAACTATTCGTTCAACACCCTCAGGGTCACAAAAGCCGATAAGCCTGATGTAGATCTTCTGGACCATCAGAGCAAGACGATATTTGTAGTGGAATTTTCACCTCCTGGTAAGACGAATATCGTCTGAAAAAAGGAGTAGAAGCGAATGAAATATCGGGATTTTCTCTGAGAACCCCGCAGACTCTATCCAGACCACTCTGTCAAAATAGTTGTTGTGATTATTGGAGTTCTTGGTGGAATGATGCCCTCTCTACTCTCGAATCTAAAAATCATACCGGTCGCCGCAGACATCTGTCTGTCGTTGGTTGACAATGCTGGCACGTCCTCCTGAATGTATCGGGGCTTCAGAGGATAGGGCCTGACCAGCTAAAACTTAGGATGATAATAATAATCGGGTTTCTTTTAAATGAGATGAGTATAGGGGTGCATCATACTGACGATCTAAAATTTAGGACGATAGTAATAATCGGGATGTTCCATTTAAAAAAATATAATTGCTAGGACTTTCTGATAGAAGTGGCAACGCCGCAATGCTGAAAATATTTTAGATCGATAGAACAGGTAAGGAAATGTGAGAGGTGAAATTTTCAGAAAAATCATGCTTTGCGTTTTCCAGAAACGTCTAACCTACCATCAACCGTGAGTCACGCTGTATATGCAATCTCCTGCTGCCGGTGAAGATATGCATCTGCAGCCGATGTCCTAGAATACCAATGGAATGGACGAGACTGGTGTACTGTCGTCAACAAAGCAATATATTGGATTCTTGTTTTTTTTCAATAAGTTGTTAATATAAAATTAAAAGAGTGTGGGAGACAATATGGTTCCCTGGATGACATCGGCGTTGATGGTAAAAGTATTCGAGATAAATCTATCGACGTCCACTTGCAGGTAATGTTCTTTCAGGAAGCTGAAGAGCAATACACAAAAATGATCCGACAAGCCATAGCATCGAAGTTTGGCCAGCAAACCCTCATGCCACACACGGCGAAATGCCAACAGCTTTCGATTCTCCTTGTTTCTCGATTGCGTTATTCCAAATATGGGTGACATATGACAGAAGGTCGCCTGTTGATCTTTGTTTCCGAAAGCCATATTGATGATCACTAAGGATGTTGAAGCCTTCCAAATATTTGAGGATATGGTGATTTATGGCTTTCTACATGATTTTTTATATCACTGATAGCAAAGCGACTGGTCTATAGTTAACAGTAATAGTTTTCTTGCCCTTTTTGGGAATAGGCTGAACGCGAACAATCTTCCAACAAGAAGGAAAACTCTTCCTTATAAGACAGGTTGAAAATCTGAAAAATATTTGAGCGAGTTCATTTGCGCAATTTTCAAGTACGATGACGGGCACTTCATCAGGACCAGACGCTTTGTTAATATTGAGCTGTTTCAATATTCGCCTGACTAGACGTTGTCGAAAAGTAATTTCCGGCATTGTGGATGCTAGTGTGGGAATAATTGTAAGAATGCTACGGAAATATTGTTATTATGTTCCTAATCAGGCTTGTTGTTTCCAAATTATTCTAATATTATCTTCAAACTCATTTTATTGATATTATATTTCGAACTCTTTGAAAACTTACCTACCGCAACGATGTTCATAAGTTTACTTGCCCATTTCAATCGACAGAACTGCTAGAGCTTAAAAATAGATTCAGTATGATATAATGGTCTAAAAAAATGAAGGTCAAATAACTTCTTCTAATTATATGTTGTGATGAAATCATACCATTATTTAACATGTTCTAAATTGTATTAAAACAAATGTAAACTTTTTTCATCTGCATTGACGGAATTTATTCCATATCTGCTCCCATAGTTATGGTAACAGGTATTAACTTGATGATCTGTGCAGGTTTCCTCTCAATATATTATTTATATAAACACATTATTGCAGAGCATTACGATGACCAGAAAAATATTCATTATAATCTACACGAATTCCTGAACATTAATTAAGTTCATTATACAGAATGTTTCTAAAGTATTGTCATTAACTTTCGGGTGTGATTTGTAGTGATTTTTCATGTAGTTTTCTATGAAAGTTGGAATGAAAGTGTGCAATTTCGTTTATATTCCAAAACCTACTGAAAATGAAAACTTCATATTTTGGCCAGGTATCTCACATAGTGTGGTTAATTTCATAAATATGGATGTACAATACAAACTGAGTGATTTAAAAATGGACATTAGGAAATATATCAAATTCAAAAAGTTTCACTGAGTAGGTAGTCAACTATTTTCATGATATTCGCGATTTTTCGGAAAAGTTATCCATTTCTGTAGAAATTTTCGAAAAAAATAGACCAATCTACTTAGGTGAATACAATCAATCATTATCGAGATTCAAAACATCGGATACCATTTGAATGAACTGTTTCAGAACAAAATTGTTCGAAAACGTCATTTCAATTATTCGAGGGAGTTGTTCAAAAAAGACTCTTTGGGTTCTTTTACGAATAATAATTATTCTGTTTCTCATGTCGTTCTTGTTTACCATCGATGGCCTACAAACGTGTGATTTGAGGTGACTACACAAAAAATAATACAAAGAATTCAAATTAAGCGTCCTTGGTGGCCATTGTTGAGGTCCACCATGATTTACCCAAGTTGAGGGAAAATTTGTAGGTGAGATGGTGCTTCATCAAGTATGAACCATACGCTTTTTTGAAAGAAACATTTTCAGTCAGAGTTTATACTGGTTTTTTTGCCAATATGATACAGCATCATGTTGAGTAGGGAGAAAATACATTTGTCCAATGAGATCACTATTTCACATACGTTCGTCGAAAATTGCTGCAGAAAACCACTTTACACAACGACAACTCTCGATGATATTTTGTAAAAAAAATTCCTCACCTGTGAATAGCACATCTGATGCGAAGAGAAAGGTTTATGTGTATAATCCATTATTGTTTTGTTTGAATTGGTTGAAATTTGACCATGTTATCCATGGTAAGTCAGGGTGGTGGTGATTGGTATGAGATTGTGAGGTAGTTGGAATAAAAGGATAAACTTCAAATTATAAGAATTCGACGGATCGTGTTTTTATATACATCTGCCAATGAGTAGTCCCACCCATATAAAAAAGGCTTCAGATGATTCACAATATTCCAGAACATTTTATAGCATTCAAAATTGTTCCATAATGACCAGACTTTTCCAGAATGTTCCAGACTATTTTCTAACATTTCAGAAAGTTCTTGTGTCTTCTGGAATGTTGTGAAATGCTCTCGAGTACTCTCGAATGTACTAGAGGCTGAATCTTTCAGCCTTTTCCAAAAATGTTTAATTCAGATGCAATTTGTGAAAAACCATAAACAATTATGAAAAATGCGAAATATTGTTGTATTACTGTTTGCATAAAAAATCTCAAAAAATTGATGATTAAAACTCATTATTTATTTTATACAATAAAGTTGTCAACGAAAATACGAATGAAATATTCATATTAAGTAGGTACCATTCACACTACTATCAAATCTTGTTTGCGGTTAGCCTATATTCGACATTTGTTTGCTATTCTGCACAATTTGATTATTAGAAGAGTATATTAAAAAAAATGCGTAGTTCAGACGTAAAAACAAAAATATTATACGGGACATGAGTGTTTGCATGTAGGACCTGGTACCAAATTATATACTGAAAATATACTATTTTTAAGTTCATATGCAGTTTCGTATAAATACGATCCAGACCACAGGGTAACTTCGTTCATATGAAATATAAATGAACTTTGTCTTATACTCTTTCTAAGAAGTCAAGTATTTACGAATATATAGTCTAAAATTTTGTTTCGCAGTTTCCTCATTGATTACGTTTGAAAAATGCTCGCTGTTAACACATCTACTACAATATAGATCGGATAGTCCGTGGTCAGATATCTATTTCCTCTCTTTGCTTCAAATCTGCTCACGAACAGATTTTTATGGGACAGGTGCTGTTGTCTGTAGAAATAGTTGAACTGAAAGCAATTCTGTTTCAAATATATTAGTAAAAGGTGAATGCATTATTCAATCTCTTTACTATAGTTAGTACATTGATCCTTAAAATATTCCACAAACAATTTTTTTCGGTATAGGATCACATGTAAACGAGGTTACGTTTTTTCAAGTCATTTTGATTAGACCCAGAATATTTTCGATCTCTTTCATTAAACCAATGAGTAGCCAATGGTTATTTCATTGTTGATTCTTATTAAATCATCTAAAAGAACAATTCGTTCAGGCCAGTCTCAACTCCCTACACAGTAGGTTAATGGACCGACACCTATCAGAAAACAACTACTCCCCTGGCTAATACTACGAAGGGCGTTGAATTATATCCAACAGGTGTCAGTGCAGGATTCTTCACAGAAGTTATTCCTGCATATGCTGTTGGCGATACAACTGCCGCAATAGATTTTCAATTATTGGAACACCTGTCGGATATAATTCAACGCCATTCGTGATATTAGCCAGGGGAGTAGTTGTTTTCTGATAGGTGTCAGTCCATTAACCTACTTTGTAGGGAATATTACTGGAGTTTTTTCCCAACACCAAATCGTTATTTTTACACCTCGACACGTGTTTCGATCACCAAGTGATCATCTTCAAGAGGAAGATTAGGCTAAAAATACCTACAACGTTGTCCTTATTTATACCATAAATACTTCTTCTGAGTACCTGCGTCTTGAGTATCTTGAATTAAATTCACAATATTGCCTTAACTACTAATCCTAAATTGATTTTACAATGTGTCCTTATGTAATAGGTAAATCGGATAATTGAATAGAACTGGCCGATACTTGATGAAAATCCATATTCAAAAAACTAATAAATAGAGTTTATTCTATGATTTTCACTATAATGATGATTTTCGCTATTGTATAGCGAAACACGTGTCGCGGTTTTTGTAAAACCCTTATAGTGAAAATCATAGAATAAACTCTATTTATTAGTTTTTTTTTAATCTGATAATCCCTGTTGCCTCATTGCATCTGATAATATCTACCGCAGTCGTAGACGAAACATCAGGCATAAAAGCCAGTGAAGTATGGCCAACAAACCCGAAGAATAGCTTTGACAGTTATTTCCGGCTGGAAAAATTTACACACACTCATTAACCCTGGTATATATCTACAATGTCTCAGGATATGAACGTTTTGACTTCGTAATTACAATTTTCGAATTTCAACCTTGAAAATTGAGCCTTCAATTCTGAAGGTTCAGAAACCAATATAGTCTGCGATTCAAGGTACTTTTTGATCATTTAATTTTTTCAGAATGAAATCCGTACTTTCCATTCTTCTGCTGTCGTTGGTTCTGACGAACGGATCTGTAAATAAATGTGGAGATTCCAGTTTGAGAGAATGCTTTTGTGGAAGTCAGTTCTACGAAAATCGATCAATGTTTGTAGTGAATTGTACGGGCTTGGGATTTACCACTGCTGATATGTTGAAGTATATACCTGATGAAACTGAGATGGTTATTTTTACTGGAAATCACGTCAGTACCATCAACAGTAATGTGTTCGGGGAATACAAGAATATGACCAAACTTAGGTAGGTGATAAACTCATGGTAATTTAATAATGGCTTAATGGCTTTTTTCAAATTTTTCAAAATAACTGTGTCTTATTGTAGATAGATAGTTAGATAGACAGATGTATTGTTTCTTAAAACTTTACAGTTCTTTATTACTGACTGAGGCAAAAATAACATATAAAAATGCATGCATAATTTATTCGTAAAAAATGCTCCCAATTACATGATATTATACATATGTACAAAGTGCATTTCTTTAATGCCCCCCCCCTTTATTTTTTGAACGGGTCAAATAAAAAAAATGAAATTTGGGATAATGAAATTAATGCATGAATACTTTATTTTGAAGTGNCACTCCAATAACGGCAAACAACAAGTAACTTAACAAACCTTATCGGGTTGTTGGAATTGCCATATGGCAGATAAAAAGGAATATTTCTAGAAATATCGATATTAACGTGTTTGTCTTCAGGAAATTATTAAATGTTCTGCCATTTTGTAGTAAGTTAAGATATTGACTTCATATTCTATGGTTGTGAAGTATTCCTCAGGAGCTTCAAGATGATGTGTCACAAGACCCCCTTTCCATTTAATTTTTTTCCCAGATGGCGCCCAGTCCCAATTTCGAAAGTTTTATCTGTCAATTTCATTTCAAAATTAAGTATTCATGCATTAATTTTATTATCCCAAATTTCAAGTTTTTGAGTTGACTCGTTCAAAAAATAAAAGGGGGGGGGGACATTGAAGAAATGCACTGTATGTAGGAATGTAGGTGTGAAGCTATATGCTTCATCGAATACAAATACTGGCGTTTTTCCAACATAATTCAAACGAAACTTCCTGTATATTTCCACATTTTCTTAATACCTGGCAAAGGAGGGTCACAAATTAGGCAGTAGGCGCGCGTGGTAATAAAAAAATACTTTTTTCAAATGAAGAAATACATATAAAGTGAGTTCGAATTATATCAAGGAGGTTACATGCAGCGCCATCTGCCCGCGAATAGATCAAGCAATAATGTTGATCATTCTGTCAAATAGAGATTCCGAGCTTGGGAGTTACAAACAAACATACATACATACAGGTGAAGCTAATAAAAGGGTGTTAAAAACTAACGTTCTCGTTACATATCGAACCAATAACGTCCCGTGCAATGAAAATGCTATGATTTGTAAAGGGTAATAGCAAAGAGTTTTCATCATTAGAGGCGATTAGCTCTATATATTATTCATTGGTCAGAAACAAACTTGATAAACGCCGCCAAATTAACGACTTGATTTTTATGTACAAAATCATACATAATCAAATCGACTCTTCTACTTTACTTTCATCATGGAATTTTAACGTTCCTCGTATAACTTCCAAGTCACACATAACTTTTTACATCAACGTACCTAACTCACAACACAACTTTCACTTTCCTTTGACATCTATGTGTAGAAGCTACAATAATCTACAAAATATCGATATATTCTTCTTACCCTTATTTCAGTTTAGGAAAGCAATATACAGGGTGTAACATAAGTACGTTAAAATATTCAAGTGACATATTCCTGAGACAATTTTAAGAAAAAAAGTCTATATGAACTGGTGTCCGAAAATGCTTCGTTTCGGAGATACGGGGTGTTGAAATTGAATTTTTTTGTTCGCTTTTTGAAAATAACTCTTGCAAAAAATAAGTTATTCGCACGAAATTNATGTTTTAAAAAATTTCAACAATCTGTATTTCAAAAACGAATCATTCTTCGTTAAACATTTCATAGGAAAAAGTTGTTTATTTTGACGAGATCCACCATTTACTTAATTTTTGTAACGTTCTCATCAACTTCACTTAGCGCCTTAGGAGCTAAGTAATATGCATCGATATAGAAAATTGTAAATATCTCGAAAACGATCACCTTCAGCGTTGTTGAGGAGGTGTACCTTTTTTACTTGGACGCCTAAACGACTGAACGGATTTAGATGAAACTTTACATAAATATAGTTTATACATCAGAATAACATATAGGCCACAATTTACGAAGATTTTATGTAATTTTGGTCATAATATAACGATAAGTATCAAGTAAGTCGGAAAAATTCTTGCTCCCTGAGAGCTATCTTAGCGTGCGCTGCCTATACCGTTGAAGTTACCTGAAGATAATGTACCGTGAGATTGTTTATCTTAAATAGCTCTAAATAAAAGTCTGCGATATCATATATCTACCTCTTATGTGGTAGCCACTATATGCAAAATACTGAGCCATAAATACAATTGAATTAGATAATTTTTTACAATGCATATTTTAGAATATCTGTCAAATTCCTATAAAAATTTATACAATTGTCGTTTTGAGTATTTAATATAGATAAACTTTGTCTTTTACACTATGTAATTTGGACAAATGGTTTAAAAGTTATCATGATTAGATTTACTTGACGCAACGCAGTAAGCCATTATGCGTCGCATTTACTGTAAGACGACGGGAGACGATGCGCAGGGGTAGAGGGGCGGTCTAAGCAATGAAGCGATATCGCCGAGAACGCGACCCGAATGCGGACAGAAGCGTGAGGGTAGACTTCGTTGACGGTTGTATTAGTTTAGCAAATTTCTGTATAGGTAACATAATTCGATTCTCGAAACTATTCATTACTTTTTCAGTTGGCATTTTTTTTAGTTACCCTATTTTTAAAGTAAAAATATAAATTACTTATATTAACATACAGCTGAAGCTACTAAACCTAGAATCGTGAAATATGCTGGTAGGTATAGCATACATAAGCACCAAGAAAGCGAATCAGGAATTTCCACCCCCCAAGGGGGAAAATAGGGGTTCAATGATTGTATTGAATTTCATCAGTTTTGACGTTGAAAACCTGAAGTTTTGGGTTATTAAAAAAATATTGTAACTATTTATTTGAAATGGTCTGTCACGAAACTTAATGTGACAAACTAAATTCTATGCGGGCGAAGCCGCGAGCAAATACTAGTTGTGCTATAAAGCACAATAGGATTATGTTTGTATATCTATGATGAAAATTTGAATGGTGGAGGATACTGTAACATACTACAAAATGTTGTGAGGGTTGCAGTGAGGATGCGGAAAATATTTGGTACCAACATGATGTAGCACCGCCTCATAATTGCGGGACAGCAGGCGTATTACTCGATTAATTATTTCATGATAGACGGGTTGCCAATAATGGGTCGTACCTTTGGCCAGCACACGTTCCCCCGATCTGTCTCATATGAACTATTATGTATAAAGGCATATTCAAAAATATTGCATATGCAGATCCTGCAACAAGTAAAGAGAATATAGACTCAAAAGTTTTACATTATTTATTCATTTGAAATCATGTCTTCAATAAAAACTATGACGGCAAATTATTAGCTCTAATAAATTTTCTGTAACAGTTCGAAATGAAGGTTTCATAGCCCGTAGTTTTATGGTGGACATGCGCATGTTTTATTTTTTCAAGAAATATCTTGTGAACGGAAATTAGTGGAAATTAGTCAAAAGGTATTTTCTCTATCCTATATTCAATTTAAATTTTCTCATCCATTAATCGACGAGATTCAATCCATGAGCTTGAAGTTATTAATTCAATGAAGTACCTGAATATACACGTAGCTTGCTTCAAGAACAAATAACCAAACAATCAACAACCTTCCGAACTATCAAATTATTCAACCTGTGTGTAGATTAACACAGCATCTAAAAAGGAAACACTCTTATCAGTTTCTCTTTGGACTGTGGAATGAAAGTCATTGAAATGGTGTCAATATTGTCAAAAGGGATTAACAAAATTAAGTTGCCTACAAATCTTTTGTTGAATGGAATTTTAAAATTCAGCTGAAAATATGATCATTAATGAATTTATCTAATACATAATTTGCCAAACTAGGTAAAACAGTGGCATCCACTGATGTTACAAATATTTGTTTGTAAAATGTATTATCAAACACAAAAATAATTTGTTTTGATGATGAATTTCAAAATCTGGTGATAAAGATGATACTGGTGATGAAGGTAGATTCGTAAATAAAGAATCTGATACTTGATAATTATTTATTTATCCACTGAAAGACAAATCATCTTTCACAATATATAATAGTGTAATTTGAATGTATATTGTATTTTTCTATCTAAAAAAGTCATCTTGTAATATTTTGTTATCAAAAATGGTGCTACATATCGGAACGTTCTTGTTGAAGAATTTACTTACTATATATTTTGATTTCAGGATTATCGACATGAGCAATAACGGTATCACAGACATAAAAGGCAAAGCATTCCACCACGTTACTGGCGTAACTCGTCTGATACTGAATCACAACAATATCTCGATATCTGAAGAGTACGACAAAAACTACCATCATCCGCGAGTGTTTTCCAATTTTGTCAACCTACAGGAGTTGCACTTGACGAATGCTTTCGCAGATAATACTGATGCTGATCTAGCGGACGATTTGCATGATATTTTTGTGTCCAGTGGCCTATCCAAGTTATTTAAGCTACACTTGGAGCAGAATGAAATCGTCAACTTTAGGGATGATAGGGTGTTTTGCGACTTGCCAGACATACACGATTTGTATTTAGGTAAGAAATTTGTACGAATATACAGGCGGATTCCGGGGGGATGGCACATTAGTCGTTTCTGGTGAACTAGACACCGGATCACTTCTCTACCTAACTAAAATATTTTCGACAATGAAGTGTTGCCACTTCCATTAGAAACTAGTAGCAACTTTGATTTTTTAAATGGAACCCCCTGTATATAATATTATTGTTGAAATCTACAACAATTACCCGACAATTTTCCTTGATATTTTCCCATACCTATCCGTTACCATTTTCGAAATATGAATTACTTTAAATATTTTCTTCGGAAAACATGACCTCTAAAAATGATGATATCTTTGAGTTGAGGAATACTATGGCACCAAAATCTGCTTTGGAGTGAGGTGATACTTGGAGGCTTCCCACACTTCAGCGTAATCTTCGTTACTTCAATACAGGGTGGTAAAAAACACAGTTTTTTCGTTTGCTTGAAAAAGTGACTGAAATAGTGGATTATTTCGACTATTTTGGACAGTGTGATAAAATTATCAGCACGACATGTAGAAGGTTCAATGAAAGCTATCCGAATCTACTGCAAATGAACCTCAAGAAATGTATGCGACTTCAGAACAATTTGAATGCATTTGGATCAACTTCAAAAGGATCAAAAACTCGCCTCGTCCCGTAACTTCTGAAGACAACCAGGATAATGTCTTAGCATATTTTCACGCATTTCCTGATTCATCAATAGGAAGTGCTGAAGAAGATTTGGTTCAAAGAATCTTGCGAAACACATAAAATGCACGATTACAAATTCACCAAAATTCAAGCAATGTAGCCTCAAGACCCCCAACAGAGAGTTGAATTTTGTGAAATGTGGTTGATACGCAAGATTTTTTTTAAAACAAAATTATTTGGACTGATGATTCGATGATTCGATTTTCCAGAGAAGGAATTTTCCATAGGAAAAATTGTCATTATTGAAACAGTGAAAATCCTCTCGTCACAAAAGAAGACGTATTTTAAGAAAAATTCATTCATACGAATACAATAAACTGAAATAATTAACAATGTTGTTCCTTATATATCCATACACCACTGTAGGTAATAACAGACGGTCCTTAACTGAGTATCTGAATTTTGTTCACACGTGACATTGGGGGTACGCTAATCTGACAACCAGCGAAAATACTAGGTCCATTTGGTCATTCAGCAAGTTAAATCCGCAATGTATCTGCTTATGAATTTCAAAGGATTCCAAATAATTGACTTTCAAACCTTGCTTGCATAGTGCAAAATTTCCTTATAGTTTAGATTCGGGAACTTGTGGTTGCATCCCAAAGGGTGGTTTGAAAACGTCGAGTCAGTTTTACCTAGTCTGAAGGACCTTTCATGTTCAGCATATCGTTTTGATAAATTTTGGCCATATTGTCCAACATTAACACTATTACTCACCGGACAGTTCAGCTTGTGATCTACAGATGTCTCCATCTTGTCCACTTTATCTTTGGTGAAATTAAACATTTTTTGATTTCTGATTGTTTGATCTGGGGGTATATTGATCTATACGTAAATTTGAAGCTTTGTTTTCTGACTAACTTCTGAATTGTGTCTGCGTTGAAACCATTATTCTGTCCTATCTGTATAATTTTTTTAATTTCCCTATCCAGATTGTTAGCAGAGAAAGGTAACGAGAATGTTCTATGAAACATTGAATTGTAGACTGCTAATTTATGACTCTCGGGATGGAAAGAATAACTTGAGATTGTAATGTCTGTATAGCTGGATTAATATGTTTCTCTATCTTTGTTTCGAATGTGTACTGTATGTTTCTATTAAGAATATTTCATAAATGTCATGAATTGGTTCAGCTGCCGTGTAGTCCTCTGAAATAGGTGAGAATATCGTCTACATATCTGTACAAAAAATGAATATGTTTTTCACCCTTGTCGGAATTTACTATAGTGGTCTCCAAGCAAATTTGTTTGCTAAAAGTGGACTGAGGTGTGAGCCCATTAGTAAACCTGAATCCTGTTTATAAATTTTTTTTTATCGAACTGTAACTAATTCTGATTTAGGCATACCTATATCGAAAGCTGTCGAAATTTCAACAGAAGTGGCTCGGTTTACTTTGGCTTGATCTAATAATATATTTGAAATGAGAGACTTACATTCGTTGTATGCTGTGTTAGAAAAATACTCTTTACTGGAATTAAACTGCAATTGAATTATGTGGCGTGGTGCGGTTTCTTATTTTTTATACGAAAGTGAGCGAATTTTGAATGCTGTGACGCGTGACGAAATTGGTAATACTTTTGAACAACTTGTCAAACCCTATTCCTAGCTCTCTTACCGGACTGTTTTTATACGAAACTACCGGTCTTATGTGGTTACCTTGTTTATGTGTTTATATTAGAAGAAATCTGGAGTTAATAAGCTTACGTGTCCGGAGTGTAGTAATGTTTATGTTGGACAATGTGGCCGAAATTTCTTAAAACGGTATGGTAAACATGAAAGGTCCTCCAGTCTAGATAAAAATGATTCGACGTTTTGAAACCATGCAGGCAAGGGTTGGAAACTAAATTATTTACACAAACAAAAGCATCTACTAACCCATATTGTCACAGGTAAATTAAAGATCCTCTGCTATTACCGTAGTTGTATATAGGTATACAAGGTGTACATTGTTAATTACTTCAGTTCATTTTATTCGTTTGAAAATGTCATTGTACGACGATCATACAGTAATGTTAGTTACAGATAAAAGTGGTATAAAACATAGGAATTTTATTTCTCATTTTTCATAATAATATTTGGATTTTACCATATACATTTTTCCTGTGAGAAATCATATGAATACTGATATCACACTTTTCGAAATTGAACACTGCTAAAGTTGATAGTTTTTTGTTCTTGTTTAGGTGACAACAATATTCCCAGCTTAAATTTCAACATAACCTGTCTGCCTAAGCTGCGCTTCCTGGACCTGGAAGGCAACAATATTACCAAATTCTCACAGCAAGACTTGGACAGTTTCGACAAGTTAGCTCAACCTTACCGATCAAATAGTCTGATATTAGAAATTGGCAACAACCCATTTCGGTGTGACAGTGCCATCAAAAATTTATACGCTTGGTTGCACAAAACCAATGTAAGCGTGCGACATTTGGATAGTCTCGAGTGCCACCAAGCTAAGTATGGAAAAAAATATATCATGAATTTGAAGAACTTGGCAGAGTCTAAGCATGCCAAGATTTCCAAAGCGTTAACGGTACTCTTGGTAGTTCTAGTTCTCATTCTTTTAGCGCTTTTGAGCGCCTACGTGTACTTGAAGAAAGACAGCGTTAAGTCGAAATGGAGACCATTATTGGAATCGGTGACTAGGAAAGTCCAATATAATAAAATCGAATCTCAAGATGTGTGATGGTCAAGAATCGAGATACTTATGCTGCCATGGTAAAATACGTTTCAGTAACTTATTTGTGGAATCCAATTATATACATTGGTCGAAAAAAAAAGCTTTAGAATCAGACAAATCAGCTCGTTTCAACACACGATGACTTAGTCAATTCAATTGAATCAGGTCTCAGTTAGCTTAGTGAACTAGATGTGTTACAAAATACGATATCATATCTTCTCTTTTACTCATGACAGAAAACCGACTAAGATGAAGAACCAATTGGTATATGTTTGAAAAAATGTTGATGTACTTTCGTAATAATATCGCTTACATTATCGTTAGATGTCAGAAGAAAATTGTTCGAATCAACTGATAATATCTGAATTGAGTCAGAAGCTTTCTATTTTAAGTGAATAGAAAATAATGTACAGCTTGTCAAATCTAGGAAGCTACTTCCAAAGTCTCGGCTTAGGACCAAATCAAAAAATCGTAATGTTTCATATCAGAGCATGAACCAGGACAGTAGTGCTAACGAAACAATCAAATATATGGACATTTTTTTGTTTCATTGAATAATTTTATGAGTCTTTCATATTTGGTTCATTAATGAGGTAGAAAAGATTCACAGGGTTGATAGGTTTTTGGTGGTTTCCACTAGTTAGTCGCCAAATTTCTCTAGAAAATAGCATGACACACCCAAAAAGCTACAGGAGATTTTTTACCTGTTGACTCTCCATATCTAACTCGAATATATTGCACAATAAAGTTAATATAACGTGAAAGAAAGAAGTGGAATCTTTATAGATGGCTTCAGTGTAGAAGATTTCTCTAAAATTTGAGTACCTATATTTCTCAAATTTGAGTATATTTTGTATCTATACTCAAAATTTCGTAGTCAAAATTTTCGATATTTAAAAAACAAGGGTCGGTATCTTGGATGAAGTTTTCGTTTTAATGTTGAGAAATATGACAATGCAACTTTCGTGAAGAATGAATTTGAGAAATAATAACAATAATAAAAATGATGTTTTTTTTATGGTGCACCATGTATATGTATAATTACTATTTTCTTGCAACACCTCAGGAGCAGAATGTATACTGAAATGACCGTTGATCATAAAGCGTAGTACCAAAAAATTCAAAATAGATTAAAAAAAATGTTGGGAAAACAAGTATCTGCCACGTTTTGAATTCCAACCCACGACCTCCAGAGTTTTTTGATAATCGACTTCTCATGACAATGGCATGATCAATTGTAAGCAAAATTGTGTTCCTGTAGATGTTGCTTTTTTAGCAAAGGGTTATACAGTCTTCGGACATTCGGACAAAATACCAATCTCATATTGATACAAAAAAATATGACACTCTTATAAAGAAAGGAAGGAATTAATCAATTTTACAAAAAAATTCTATGGAAATCTTTGCATGATCAACACCTCTTTGTATAGAATTATTCTTTTGAAATTCTCACATTTTTTTTGTATTAAGATGGAGAAGTAGGAAGCCAAAACCTTTCTTTCCCAAAAATTCAACCGCTCTTAAAAATATACTCCTTTCAATTTAAACTAACCACATAGTTTGTATAGAAATATTTGAAACAAAAATCATTCAGGTGGAACCCGCGACAGTCAGGGTGAAAATATTTACAGCATTTCTTCAAACATATGTTCCTTATATACAAGGTGAAAGATAAAATGGAGAACGTTGAAAATGTGAATATGGAAATAGGGAAATAGTGATTGAGTAATAAATTTTATAGTGAGTTTTATGCCTAATATTGAATACACTGTCTCTCATTTCTACGGTTCAATTAGTAAATTAATTTGGAGTGCATTGAAAAAATCAATAATTCTCATGTCCACCCTGTTCAGGTGTTCGTTGCCAACAAAAAATTTTCTGTTTCAACATTTTTTATCTTCGTGGTTCATGTCCTGACACATTTCAAGGTAATTTGTGATCAAATGCAAGTTTTGGGTGAATTGAAATATACCGAGTGTCTCTCAAGAAAATGTTCACCTTATTTTTACCATAATAGGTTTTTGACATTTATAATAATCATCAGAAGGTGTCTTCTTGAAGTTAAAATGCTCCTAATTTGGCGTTTATTAAAAACTGCACATTTTGGAATAAATAGAGTTGGACACTTTTCGATGTTCCATTACGTATATTGAATAACCTAATCTTACATACGGATTCATTTCGGTAATTTCTGTTACTTAATTTACTCATCTGTAAAGTCTCTGAAAAAAATGATAGCTTGATTTTATCATCAATACACTTAGTTATCTTCGTTTCATATAATGTCAAATAGTTATAGATTTGACAAAGATATTCCTTAAATGCTTTTTCAGTACCTAATGATAGATTTCTTTCACATATAGTCAGTCAGATGGCATACTTGAAGACTCGCTATAAATCAAATCATCTAAAGAAACAATTCGTTCAGGCCTGAACGAATTGTTCCTACGAATAGTCCCACTCTAGCGGTCGGTAGCCAGGCGGTTCGACGTGGGTGCTTTGTTCACTCACTCGAATTGACTGCCGTGTTGATCGGTGGTTCAAGCCCTAGTCTGAACGATCGATTTTCACTTGCTATCGTCCAACCCGTGTTAGGAATCACACGTTAAAAGGTAAGACCTTGTTAATCCTTAGCTCGCACAAGTTTCGACTTCTGAGGGTTGTCGTTCGTAGGGGTGCGACAGCTGGTTAACGGAAAAACATACTTTAAACAGATTTAAACAGATTTTAAACAGACTATATACAACGAATTGGGCAAATTTCGGATATGCGATTGGTTACCTCGTTCACAGGCAGATGGGGCGATGACAAACCGGTTGTTTGTTGTCCGCTTCAGCCTAGTTCGAGGAATGATTTCTGAAGGAATTCGATTTTCAATTATCGCGAATCATCGACTTTATATTGATGATAGACACTACCTTGCACTGACGAGAGGCCAAACAGCCCGAAACCGGTCTGCAAGTGTGGTCCAATAATTGAAAATCTATTGCGGCAGTTGTATCGCCAACAGGATGTGCAGGAATAACTTCAGTTAATAATCCCACACTGACAGCTGCCGAATTCAATCCAACGCCCTTCGTGGTATTAGTCAGGGGAGTAGTTGTTTTCTGATAGGTGTCAGTCCATTAACCTACAGTGTAGGGAGTTGAGACTGGCCTGAACGAATTGTTTCTTTAGATGATTTGGCCTAACGATGGAGATGCTACGAATTCTTTTTAAAAATTTACTTGATTAGTGAAAGACAAGGAATTTATTACTAAAATAGTTTTGTTTTCTTCTTATAGCTATCTACTACATGAGAGCTCGTTGATTTTCAACTTGTTCAAGTTTGAACTTTTGATAGTTGCTTTTCGTATGGTTGAGTTTTCTGTGACTCGTTAGGTTATAATACGTTCATCGGTGAACTACCGTCAATTCAGTTTTTTAGTAGGGTATTTTTATCACTTCTAGGATTGTCCTCCCACGCTGAATCTAATTCTGTCATAAATTAGTAGCTATACAACGTATTTACATTTTTTCAGAAACGAACGAAAAACAGGCAATATTCATTTTCGTTTATTGAAGTTTCGTGTTGGAAACGAAACATTTAAAGAAATGTCAAAATTTTGTAATTTATCCATTGCCACTTTGTATAATTGCCAGTATTTAGATTCTTTCCAATGTCGAATTTCTTTCAGAGACTAGTTATTTCAAAATTAATTTATAAAACACTCTCCCAGATATAACTGAACGACATTTAGTTGTGGTTGGTACGTTTGCGAGCAAACAGCTAGTCGGAATTTAACATTTTTTTGAAAATTTTGTCAAAAAATTATTTCATTGAAATAACAGAACCTTGAATATGAGTATGGTGAATAAGTATCAAGATTTATCATAATTTTGTACGAACAATACACAATTCATATTTATACAGTAATGTAGTTAACATACCAACCACAAGTATTGTTTATATTTACCTACTTATATATTTTAAGATAATGTAACGTAAGGTGCTTCTTATTTGTTAGTAATGAATGAAAAACTGAGTGGAACAAAGAACAAACTTTTAATATTTTGTATATATTTTTGTACATACATTTTTGAGTGATTTTCCTTGTTTTTATCTGAGACCTAGGTACTTTTTTCTTATAGGTGCGCTGATGATTTATTGTAGTCACATCTAAAATCGGAGTAATTATTTCAACTGATCCACAAGGCTTCAATAAAAATAATAATAAACGTCTTTATTACTACAACCACGATTAAGTTCTAACTACATATAACAAATTATAGTAAAAGGCGAAGTTCAATAACTGCTAAACTGTTCTTCCACTATAATTATAGAATGAAGAGAAAATTATGTGAACGTTTCTTGTTAGATAAGTAAGCAAAATGATTCATAACACAAATATTCGAAAAAATATTCAATTTTCGATCGTTTCTCCAAACTGTTTTCTGCCAAATTAGCATATAGAGTTATAAGACATATAGTATTCGTTCTCTGGCAAATAATCATTCATAGGTAACTTCAACTGATTAAAAATTAAATAATCTGAGGTGAATCTTGAAAATTAAATCGAGAGCAATGTCCACACTGTGCTCAAGTCAAGTATATAATTATAGTTTTCCTATGTGTTAAAGAAAATGAAGTTAAAATAGTTTTAATCAACATTTGAATCTCTAATTGTGATGGCAACAGTGAACTATGTAGTGCAATGTTCTGAAGATATTGTGATTTTTGTTTTGACCTCCAGATAAGTCACAAAAAATTTTAGGAACCTGACACTATTTATCCATTTCATTAAATATGAAATGTAAGAGATGAGAGACCACATCATCTGATCCTTTTCTTCAAATACTCTCAACAAATGAAAAAAAAATATGATGATCTCTTCACTTGCAAACACCATTCATTTTCTGCAAATCCCAGTGCCGAAATTTCCATATTCGGTGACTTCGATGTCCACAATATTGAATGGCTCAAATTTTCAAATATCAACGATGAACAAGGTTACGAAGCTGAGGCTTTTGCGATAAGCAGCGGACTAAGGTTAGGTCAAAAGTGAGTGGGTCTATTCGACCCGCAAGGGTTTATTGTAGCTCACACATATTCACACTCGACCAAAAAACCCAGCTACTTAACGAAGCCGATTAGTTTGTATGTTGAGTGGTCTTTCAGGTCAGATGGTGAGAGTATGGCTCTGCCAAACTCTAAAAATCTGACCCGCCTCCAGCGGGGCAGGCACAAAGCATGTGCTCTGCTGTTTCATCATTTTACAAACAAAGGCGACACACACTGTCTTCCGACAGTCCGAGTCTCTGCATATGATGATTCAAATGATAGTGACCTGTAAGAAGGCCTGTTAGACATCGTAGTTCATTCCTACTGAAGTCCAACAACTGTATGGTACCAAGCTTCGAAGGGTGAATAAACGCCCTGGAGCGAGCCAATCCTAGAAGATTCTGCCAGAAG